CTCCCTCCCTCCCACCACAACTGACAAGCGGAAAGCAAACTGTGTTTGAGTTTCACATGGTGTGCAAACCATTCTAGAGAGATGATAGAAATCAGTCTGCCATCACCATTTTGTTGTTGTTGTTAATGCTCATAGTTGACAAGGAAACACTCTTTTCAAAACAAGGCTGATGACACGAGTTTAAATAGGTGATCCTCAACCTTTTAGGGCTGGTGAGCCCATTTGAAATATTGAGAACATACCCAAGGTGCTTTCACAAAATAGATGTCATAGAAGACAGGTAGATTAAACATCTTATGTTTAAGCCATAAATGACCTCTTTGAAAAGCTAAGCTCATAAACAGCAGGCATTCATTCCAGGAATTAAAGCAAAGAGCGATATCAATGTGGTATCTAACAATGCAGAGACAGATGTCTTCAGCTCCTGGCTGGGCAGGAGGGTGGGAACAACAACAGACCTTGGTTTCGGAGCCTGATAAGTATCCAGGCCAAAAAGGAGAAGAACTGCAGCTCCATGACAAGCTATCTTTTGCACTGCAAAGTACCCAGTATAACGGCACTGGTATTTTACTGAATGCAGCTGTTGATTTTTACCAAAAGAACTTGCAGCAACTTCTTTGGTGAGGCCAATAAATGGACTTTGATTGCATATTTGATTATTCCCTTCTACTGCTCAGGATGGAACTCTGATTTATTGATTGCAATGATAGGAGGTCGTCTCCCTACCTTCTATTTATCCTCTCTCCAAAGCTTAACAAATAGAGAGTGAAGGAAAAAGTAATTCCATGCCATTCTGAGTGGGCTGTTCCAGCTGGGATGTGTGGTGGAGTAGCTCCACCACAGGGCTCAGCCCTTTCCCCCAAGGTGTTCAACAACTATGTGAAACCACTGAGGGATGTCATCTGTTGGTTTGGGGTAAGATATCATCAAATATACATCAAATGAATAAACAAACTTGACAATGATACAGAAGTGTATATTGCCACCCCAACCTGGGCCAGGGGTGCTATGGAGGTTTTAAGCCATGAGCTGAGGAACTGGATGGGTTGGAAAAAGCTCAGATTAATTCCCAACAAGACAGTTATATTTTGTAGGTGATCAGTCTGGCTTGATACCAATCTGTAGTTCAGCTCTGGAGAGGTCACACTTCTGCTAAAGGAACAGTTGATAAGTTGAGGATCCTCTTGGTCTTGGGGCTCCTGTTCAAGCTGTAGTGGCAGCTGGGGTCCAGAGGGCCTGCCTGGACTGGGAAAAGCTTACATCTGGACTCACACCATCATCAACTCTCCTACTGGCTGCCACGGTATGCTTTCTGTGGAGCTGCCCTTCAAAAAGAACCTGGAATAGGAATTTGTCCAAAATGCAGTGCCCCAGCTAGCAACAGAGAACAGTAGGTTCAGTAGCACTACACTTGTTCTTCAATCACTGCGTTGGCAACCAGTGGGCTTCCAGGTCCAGTTCAAGGTGCTGGTTACCACCTATAAAGCCCTGCTTCACTTGGCACCCTGCTAACTTGCAGGATCATCTTTCCTGCTTTGGTTTAGCCTGGACTATGTATGGATCCCTAATTTCTAATGATCATATTGTAGCTTACCATGTTGCATGAATCCAGCCTTGATTATCTACAAACTAGGATAGGTGACTTAGCATGTGCATCATTCTAATCAGTTGGGGCTTATTCAACAAAGAGATGATTGACGGATAGTTGAGTATGTGCCATCAACTTGGTGTCAACACTTAGCAACCACATAGATAGATATTCTCCATGACAATCTATCCGTAACCCGGCATTTTGGTGGCACTCACTACCATTGTAACCAGTCCATCCCTCTTGCTGCTGGTCATCTTTTTCCTTCCACTTTTCCCATCATCAGGGCCTTCTCCAGAGAGATGGATCTTGGCTTAATGTATCTAATGTAGGATAATTTCAGCCTGGTCATTTGTACCCCCAGTGAGAACTCTGAGTTGATTTGTTCCATGATCCATTTGTTTGCTTTTTCTATTTGTTTGCTAACCACAAGGAATGTTGTAACATACTTAAATAGGCTTGGGATACTGGAATTAAAAATATACAGTATATATATTGATTGATTGGGATGAATAAAAAATATATATCTTTGGGGTATCGCAGTTTGCCCAAACGGAGCCAATGTAGCACTCAGCTTTTCTAGCCATTCAACACAAAATGCTCCAGAGTAAGGGGGTGCTGTGTCCCTTTGAATTATCTCTTTGAGAAACTCGTGTTTGTTCATTGCATACTATCTAACATGTTCTTGGCACATGAGCTGAGCATGCTCCAGCAAGGTCATCTTTCTAGGACAACTAGTGGAATCTAATGCCTTCCAAATCAGTTGGATTATTGCTTCTGGGATTGTAAGAGTTGTAGTCTAGCCCTTCTGGAGGGCATCAAACTAGGCAAGGCTCTTCTGAGGCAACTGGATTATTATGAACTCCAGGCATCACACTTCAGTCCTACGTCTGTCTTGTTGTGTTCGATAGGGCTTACTCCCAGGTTAGTGTTTGTAATGCATGTGCATTGGACAAGTGCTTTGGACAGTGTTCATATGTCACACTAAACCATGAAATGGTACATGTGAAAGGGACTTAGGTCTCCTTGATCAAACATAAGCCAGCCGAGTGATGCAGTTGCTAAAATGGCAAATGCAATTTTGGGGTGTATTAACAGAAGCATAGAGTTCAGATCTTAGGAAGTCATAGTCCCCCTCTACTCTGCCCTGGTCAGACCCTGTTGGGAGGCCGGTTCTGGACACAGGACATCAAGAAGGACATTGACAACTGGATCAGGTTCAGAGGAGAGCTACCAAAATGGTGAAGAGTTAGAAATCAAGCTCTGCAAGGAACAATTAAAGGATCAGGGAATGTTTAGCCTAGAAAAGATGACAGAGGGGAGATATGACAGCGGCCTACAAATATCTGAAGGGCTGTCATAAAGAATAAGGAGTGGACTTATTCTGTAATGTCACAGAGGTCTGGACTAAAATCAGTGGATTAAAATGACGAAGAAAGCTTAAGCTGGACATCAGGAGGAATTTTCTTACTCTATGAACCATCAGCCAATTGAACAGGCTGCTGCGTGAAGTGGTGACTTCTTCACTTGAGATCTTCAGGCAGAGGCTGGATGGTCATCTGAGAGAGATGCTCTAGTGGATCCTGCAGTGAGCAAGGGTTGGACTTCCAACGCTATGATTCTGTGATTTCTTTGTGTGGTCCTATTGCAAACCTAGTCACTGTGGTTTGTAAATAACGGTTTCTGCCTTAGCATCCTATGTGAAAGGCGGCTATATGCACACATGCTTATAGATGAAGGAAATGATGGGCTAAGAAGAAACTGCAGCCCAATCTTATCCCTTCCTTCAATAACATCTAAATAATTTGAAACTGTTCCTAAATTAGAACAACTCTTCTATCCAACTTTCTTTCCACTATTCTCAGGTGGCAAAATAGAGCTCTCTGGAGAAGACTCTGATGCTGGGAAAGGTGGAAGGGAAGAGAAGGAGAGGATGAAGAGCAGCAAGGTGGATAGATAAAGTTACAGCAGCAATGGGTACACAGTTGGAAGACCTGAAAGGCCAGGTTAGGGATAGATCATCATGGAGAAAATCTATCTATGTGATCGCTAGGAGACAAAAACAACTTGATGGCATATAATCAATAAATCAACCAACCAGTCAAAATCAGATCAGGTTGTTCCGGCAAGTTTCCAAAAGCTAGACTTTCGTTTACTTTCCTTCCCTTCTGGCAGTGGGTAAAGGGTCACCCAGATGCCTGCAGGTCTTCTGCTCAACTTGGCATCCTGTTATTTGTTGATATTTGGACTTTGTTGCTTGTGTAATTTCTGGAAGTCACCCAGGATGGCCTCTCCTATCAGTCTAATCTCCACTACTGTTCTGTCCAAACCTAAGTTTAAACATTGACTTGGGTATATTTACAGATACTGGGGAAAAAAATCATCTAGAATCCCAAGCAAAGCTCAGTCCTTCCAGGTATTTCTGCTGCTCCTGGAGCAACGTGATTTGGACCTGATGATCTGGAAAGCTGCAGGGGCAGCCCCTGTGGTGAGGATAACCTTTCATTTGCTTTGGCGGTGACATTATATGGAGAAAGCAGGCTCAGCCTTTGTTGCACGCTTGAGACTGGCAATATCCAGACTCTCTGTATTCTCAGACAGGGCTGCCTTTAAGGCATTGATTGAACCCTTTATTGACAAGGAAAGCAGAATCAGCCAGCCTTCCATGCTATCAGCTAAGCAGCTTTGGGATGTGCCGTGTCGGACCAACTCCGTACAGAGAGAGGTGGTGATTGCAGGCAGTACCAGGCATTAGATGAAAACAGTATGCTTGCCTTAGACCCTTTATTGATCTATATTAACTGTACTCATTAAATATGTATCTCACCTTCCTTCCAAAAGCTCAAGTGATCATACAGTGTGTTTCTTCCTCTCATTTTATCCCCACAACCACCACCTTGGGTGGTAGATACAATTGAGAGATAGTGACTGGCCCCGACTGGTGTCCATTTATGGATTATATTACAGGTAGTCCTCGACTTACAACCACAGTTGGGACCAGAACTTCCATTGCTAAGCGGTCGTTAAGTGAGTCAAGCCCGATTTTACGACCTTTTTTTGCTGCAGTTGTCAAGAGAAGAATGCAGTTATTAAGTGAATCTGGCTTCCCCTGTTGACTTTGCTTGTTGGAAGCCCCCTGGGAAGGTTGCAAATGGTGATCACATGACTCCAGGATGCTGCAACCATCATAAATACATGCCAGTTGCGAAGCGCCCGAATTTTGACCACATAACTGTGGGGCAACTGTGACAGTTGTAAGTGTGAGGACTGGTCATAAATCACTTTTTTCAGTGCAGTCGTAACTTTGAATGGTTGTTAAATGAATGGTCATTAATCAAGGACTACCTATATACAAGTAGAGAAAAATAGCTTGATGATAAAGTGTTCTATAGATTAAATAAGAGGAGATACAGAAAATTTAAAATCCCTGTAAACAGGGATTACAACAGTATAACAGAATAAGAAATGGTGAATGGATCTGTGAGGAAAGTGAAGGGCAGAACTGGACTATATATATATATATAGGTAAGGTGTTATGGTAAGACTGGGCTACAAGAAGTCCAGAGGACCATCAGGTGCAAGAAAGAGAGCTTCTGTATCTTTTCACTGCCATCCACTGGTTATATGGACTTTGTAGCCAGATATGATAGCCATACTCCAAAGTCTTAGTCCAATATCTTAACCAGTATGTGACACACAAAGCCATCTAGGAATGCTTGTAATTTTGGGAGAATTTCTGAAAATCACAGTAAGTGGAGAATTGATGAAAATGATAGGATTGCAACATCTCAAGAAGCCTCCAGGGCCATATCTATCACCTAGTTGCCTTCCCATTCAGTTAATTCCCAACAGAGACCTAAATCCCCATCTGAACTTCTAACTAGTATTAGAATACACCCAAGGAATGCCACATGTCCTGCATTTAGAAAGTGCACCCTCCCACCAGTCTTTCTGTTCTTCATTTTTATTTGCCACCCTGGTTTCTAGGCCTACAAACGCTTTGTTCCCCACCCTCAAAGCCAGTATCCGCTGGCATGTTCTCTGTTCATTGGGTGTCTTGTAAGTCCTGCTTTGCAATGGGAGAACGCCTACAGGCATCTGGGCCAGCAGCTCCTTTCTCCGCCTTCCAGATCCGGCTCAACACATCTGCCATCTCACTCTGTCTCCACCTGTCTGGAGCAGGTCCTCGGTTGCTTCAGCAGGAAGTAGCGGTGAAAGAGCCTTGGCTGATTTTAGAAGCTAAGCAGGGTTGGCATTGGGAAGGAGGACCATCTGGGATTTTTAGAGCTGTAGGCTAGGTTGAGAAATTTTTAAAAAAGCATTCTGAAAGAAGGCAATGCAAGCTGTTTTTGTATCATGTTAACAAAACTGCACAATGTCACCAGGAGTCAAGCTTGACTCAAAGGAGATTTTACTTTTTATCTGGCAGGTAATTACTCCTGGAAGCCCTGACTTAGATTCTGGCTTTTTGCACTCTTGCATCCCATCTCCTATGTCCATGTCTGGTTACTGATGCATCTCCCAGTCAGAGCGTCTTTTCCCTGCAGACCAAGGTAAGTAAATTCCTTCTTTTCCCCCTCCATCTTTCTTCTTCCCTCTTTCTTTTTCTCCCCAATTTCTTCCCTTCGCATCAGAGATAACTTTTTGAGCTATCACTCACCCACTCACTTTACCTCTTGAAAACCTTCACTTCTTTTCTGTTTTCCCCTGCCAATAGTTTTCAGGGATGGCCTCTTACTTAAACTGAAAAAATTGGCCCAAACTCCTGAGCTGCTTCTCCTGGAGTGGAGGTGCTGCAGCCTGTCTTCAACAAGGTAGATCTGTAGGTTGTCCTAGCACAGGAGTGCACCTTCCCAGGCCCAAATCGCCTCTAAGTGTTGTCCATGAATCATAACTTTTAACACGGTCAAAGGAGGACATGATTGAGTACTCGGGGCATGACCATACAGGTGTGTCTGCCAGGGCGGAGTCATGAAAGTCAAGATGGGGCCACACCCATGTGGTTGAAGCCCCACCCTTTTTTACTTGCAATGATGAAAAAAAGGGGACGGGGCTTTGCTCAGGCCACCGTGGCTGCCATCTTGACTTTTTTTGAACCCTTCTGCCCATATGCCCCAATAACCATATTAATACTATTTCACTGAAGCCATTTTAATTAGCATTAAAATGAAATGAAATGTAGCTTTTGTCCCACCAATAATCATACTGGTCTGATCTGCTCCTACCAATTTTGGAAATGGATCTTCTGAATTCTCCCGCCCACCGCAAGGCGAAGAATGGCCCTTAGCTGCAAACAGTTGCGCATTCATGCCCCAGCCAAGGGGGACATATCTGTCCTCCTATCATTATATTCAGAAGATTTATTCCCAGAAGAAAAAGCTATCAAGAGAGACATGTTGTCTGGCCCATGCTTGGCAACCCTTATAATCAACAAGATCTCTGGCGCTATACACTGATTTCCCCACTGGGTTTAATTTGAGTTTTCCATGGTTTCCAGTGTTCACCCTTCTCTGTACAATGCCTCCAGCTGTCTCCATTCAGAGCACACACAAAAGTTCCTGCCACTCCTGTTGTACTGAAAAGAGGCAACACCCCTTATTATTTCAGATAATTGGCAAAGCGCTTGAACCCCCCCCCCCCCCGCAACTCTTCTTTTGAGGAGAGGGACAGGAAGGAAGGAAGAAGGAAGGAAGAAGAGAGACTACCTTGATATTGCCTGGAATACAGTACGCTTTACGGGCTTAGGATGCTATTCTCAAGGGGAGAAGTCCCAACCTGGTGCAGCCATCAACTTCTCACTGCTGTCAGGAGCTGGCTCGTCCTGTTGGCTTAGCCACCTGAGTATGGAAGATTTAGTGAGAGTTTAATTCTCAGGCTGGCTAGCAAGAAGCATTTAGCACACATCCCCAACACAGGTGTAGAGAGCAAGGAAGATGACCTTGGCGGAAATATGCAAGAACCATTTTCTAGGCAAAAGGGGCTGGAACATTGTTTAAGACCAGAGAAACAAGATAACATTTGGAAGCGGCTCGGCAGATGCCTCCCCAAGGGAGGGAGGGAGGAAGGTCCAGCACAATCCAACTTGCAAGATGATGATGATGATGATGATGATGATGATGATGGCCAATTCCAATAAAAGGAATTTTAGCCTTCCTGTGGAGTTGATTTCCTGGTCTGGTCTACCTCATGGGGCTGACAGTTGGTGACAGAAATCAATATCCAAGCCATGAATGCCTTGAGAAGGTACTTGCTTGCAGACAGAAAGTCCCAAGTTCAAATGCTGACATCCCCAGGAAAGGCTGGAGAAATGGCTGCCTAACCTTGAAAGCTGTTACTTTTCAGGGACCCAGATGCAAACATTGCAGCACACTATGGTTTCTTAAAACCATAATTTACTGAATTCTCATATGTCAAGCAATAAACCATAGTTTACCACTACAATGGCAGGCTTCACATACAGGTAGTCCTCGTTTAGCAACTGCCTCATTTAATGACCATTCACAGTTATGTGATGACAAAGTAACTTTGCGACCAATCCTTACCTTCATGACTTTTGCAGGTCTGTCAAACAGTGTTTCTCAATCTCAGCAACTTTAAGATGTATGGCTGGCTGGAGAATTCTGGGAGTTGAAATCCATACATCTTAAAGTTGCTGAGATTGAGAAACACGGCTGTAAAGCAAAGGAAAGCTGAAGGAAGATTATAAGCTCAGTTGTGGTTTCACTTGGTGCCCGTTTTGCTTAATGACCGAGTTGCTGGTCCCAATTATGGTCACTAAATGAGGACTACCTGTAATATCTAACAAATCAAACCAAACAATCCCAAACCTTCAGCAGCATCCACAGTCCCTCCCTGCTTCTGTCTCAATTGCAAAAGCAACATTGTGCCATTACACTTCAAGGACCTCCCATTTGGGATATGAGATGTTGCAACAGATGTAGAAAAGGGGTGGAACTTGACTCACGATGCTGCAACACTGCTGGGGCCAGTCTGACCCCTCTTGTCCACACACCCCTGTCCCCAGATGCAGCTGCTGCAGCAAATTCTAGACCCAGCAAACCCTGGATTATGACAGCCCAACCAGTGTGGATGTTAGGGTGGAGCCCAGTAAGGGGATACCTTGATGTGTGGGAGAATGTTGCCCCGGGACCACCAGGAGTTTTTATTGTGGTTACTTGTTTTTTTACTGTTTTTATTGTCTTGTGGGCCACCCAGGGTTAGGGTCCATAATATGGGCAGCTGTACAAGTCTTATAAGCAAACAAATAAACTGAGGCAGCTGAGCAGCGTGGCAGGCTGGTGCGAAAAGAAGCCTTTGCAATCTTGGGTTGCATCAACAGAGGTACGGTGTCAAGATCATGAGTTGTGATGGTTCTGCTCTCTGCTGCACTGGCCCACTTGCGGTCACCACAATACAAGAGGGATGCTGAGGAACTGGACAGAGAGCAGAGAAGAGCAACAAAGATGGTGAGGGGCTTGGAGGCTCAGTCCTATGAAGAATGGTTAAAGGAACTGGGTATGTTTAGCCTAAGGAAAAGAAGCCTAAGGGGAGACATGATAGCAATCTTCTAATATATTAAGAGATGCCACAGGGAAGAAGGGGTGGATCTGTTCTGTGTGATGCCCAAGGGTAGGACAAGAATCCATGGGTGGAAACTATCCAAAAACAGATCCAAACTTGAAATTAGGAGGAATTTCCTGACCGTGAGGGCTCTTAAGCAGCGGAACAGCCTGCCTCCTGGAGTTACGGGTGCTCCATCACTGGAGTATTCAAACATAGATTGGATAGCCATTTGTCTGAGGTGGTCTGAGGATTCCTGCCCTGGACAGAGGGTTGGACTAGAAGACCTCAGAAGTCCCTTCCAGCCCTATGATTCTATGATGATTCAGTTCCGGAGTTAATTTTTGATTTTTTTTTTAAATTTAAACTGGGAATGAAGAGAAGTGGGGACCTGTAACTAAGTGTTGCAGCACAGAATGCAGCTGGTTCCATTCTCCCTCCTGCTTAGCTTTCTGCTTTCCCACTGCCAATAGTCCTCACTGTTTCTTCATCCCAAGTTAGATCCTCACTAAACTGATCCAAGGTGACATGTGGAAGCGATTCCCTCTGAAACTATTTTCCCCAAAGGTTTTCTTTGGCATGTCTGCCTCCTCAAGGTCTGCCCCTTCGCAGGGCGGGTGAAGAACTCAGCTTATGCAGCAGAAATAGCCAAGAATTTCATTTGCTCAAGGCTGTCTCAGCAGCACAGCCCGCAAACCTTCAAGCGTGGAAGACTGCATCTTGAATTTTGAAGCAGCTTAGTCTTCTTTGAGTCTGAGCCTCAGTTTGCAGTTGGGTCCTGGCTGGTAGGAAATCTCAGGGTTTTTTTAGGGGAAGTAAAACTCTCACATCCACTCTGAAAGTCAAACACACGGGTCAAAGGTTTGGCATCAAATGCTGCTGGACAGAGTTTGCACGGCTTGTTTATAAATAGCACGGAGCCAAGGTAGTTCAGTCCCTCAGTCCCTGGAAACTGGGACTGCGGTGACAGCCTTGCACTTTGAAGGTTGGTTGTTTTTGCTTTTTTAATGAAGACATTTGGCAGGAAATCATCAGAAGCACGTGGTGGCCATTTGGGCCTTCCAGCACGTTGCAAAGAAAAGATACCAAACCTGAATTACTAACATGATTCAACGAAGTGACCCATGTACCACAATCCTCTTGTGCAACTGTTTGATAAAAGTTATAGATTAACTCTCAGGGTTGGGTCAGGAGTGTGAGTTCCACGAGCACTACTGAGACCCAAGGTGATTTCAGCCTGGCACAAAAGCAAAGTATGGTCTCTTCCCCGTTCTTTCCGATAGCAAACTTTTCCTCAAACCAGAATTTTCCAAGTATGTTGGATGGTATCTAGCATGACTGGGGACCATCTTGGTTGAGGAATGAGGACGTTTCAGGACAACGCATTTAAAGAGCATCCAACACGTGTAAAACCATTGCCAGTTCATGGAAGGTCAAGGATTAGTCCATGCATAAGGACATTTTTTTAAAAATTCCCACATTTTACTTACATTTTTAAAGCTTTAGCTTTAGACAAAGATTATAACAAAAACATTAATTAATAACATATTAATCATGATAGTAATGGGAAGAAGAGATCATTTGTTGTATAATGTATAACTAAGAAAATGACATCCGTGCTTCAAAAATAATAACAAATCAATAGCTCAGTCCCTTATTAATAAACCTGGAAAGGACTAATTAGCTTCCTTACCTCCTCTTTAATAGTCTCACTTGCTAATAAATGCATGGCAGTGTGCCAGAATTCGTACTTCCTCCTTTTTGTTAAAACAAGTTTACGAACCACTCAGCCTTGATCTAAAGCCTCGCCTTCACCCTACCTCCATTGCCTTTTCCAGAGCTGTTGACATAAAAATATTGCAGGCAGGCAGCCGGTGGAGGCCTGCAGATGGCAAATATCCTAACCCATTGGAGGATCAATCTGACCAATTTGATCTGATTGTGCCTTCAGGCCTGATGCTGTGACTCAGCAGAATGAACCAAGCCATCAGAG